CCATTTCATCCTTGTTGTATGATTTACATTAAATGCCAACTACAGTGCCTGACCCTTCAGAAGCCATCAGTAAATGGTAGCTAACGGTAATAGTAAATACCTTCCGTATGTCTGTCTTCCAGCTCATTTAGGGAAATCATTTGCCCAAACTCTCCAGCGTGTCATATGCTAACACAATTATTTGAAACTATAAAGAACTACTTGAGAGGAACTTGAGGTGTTTTACTATCTAAACAGATTAGAAAAATGTATGGGAGGCATTCGCAGTTTTAAGGAGAGGCTCACAATGAAATGGGGACGGGACTGAAAGGACACTGGCGCATGGACCGTCTTCACTGGGTGGGCTGTGGTAACCACAGCCTCCCTCCTTGGAGAGCGCCCCTCCCACAACAGAAGCAGAACAATCAATCCAGCAAAAATGGCTTTATGAGAATCAATCCACGCCAGACCAGTTCCTTTTCCTTCTGTAATAGGTCTGGAGGTATTGGCAGGTGAAGGACACCAGCCGCTATAGCTTCAGCTAGGTTTTGGATCCCAACCTACTGACGGGGGGGTTCTAACACCTTAATCGCCTTCTGCTGGCTGCTGAAAAACAGCCTCCAAACCCAGGAAGCAGAGCTACGGGGACGGTTGTGAGTGAGAGGAATGGGGTGGGGGGGGGCAAGAAACTCAGTTGTGGAACTGACATAAAAACAAGCCTCCCACCACCCGCAGGGAGGCGCAGAGCGCTTCCACAGGCGCTGATGGAACGCTTGTCACAGACACACACGCACACCCTCGGTCTGGAAGACGGGTGGGAGCCGAAGCGAGAGGTCTAACGCTGGGCACAAAAGGAGCTCTCCGTAGACGTGGTTGTGGAACTGGGATGCGGGGAGCCTAGGGACGCTTCCGGTGGGCCAGAAGTTCCCGTGGAGTGGGTTGATGCTGGGGGAGAGACTTTTTTTTCAACAGAAGCTGTAGGGTGTGAACAACACCTTGGGGAGTCTCGGTAAGCTGACTCGGGTTGGGAGATGCCCGGCTGCGAAGGCCACAGGGAAGCGAGCAGAAAGGAAGGGGGGGAGTGGCCGAGGCAACCGAAAACCTTGACCAGTTGACCCCTCAGCCTCCTGGAGGAAACCTTCACGGAGCCCAACCTTGTGCCACATATGCCCCTAAGTGCAGAGGATAGAGAGGAGTTAGCACTCCGGTTAAGGTCACCTAGAGGGAGGCGGCTCCCATCTGACCCTGAGGAAGGAGGGACTCCTCAGCACTGAGGGAACTGGAGGTCCATGCCTGGGGGAGTTTCCACGTGGGGGCAATTGATCTGAGAGTCTATTTTCCCTGCGTAGATGATCTCTAGGGTCCTCGCTTAGCCCTGGTTCCTAGAACAAAGGCCATCTCGGTTATTTTACAACCTGCAGTGTCTTGAACCCAGATCTGGCATTTGGCTGCCTCATCAGGAAAGTGTTGGGGAAGTCCTGTGCATTTGTCAATAAAGCACTGTTGGCCAATAGGGAATTTAGATAGGTGGGACTAGGAGTCCAGGAGGACTCTGGGAAGGAGAAACACAAGAAAGTCAAGATGTAACGCTATGGGGTAGGAAGCCTGGAACTATTCTCCGGTAAGAAACATACTTAGATTAACAATTATGGGGTAATTACTTAAGTCAGAGCTAGCCAGTAAGAAACAAGCAAGGCCAACAGCTTCATAATTAATACAGCCTCCTGTGTGTTTATTTGGGACTGATGCGGCTCTAGAACCAGGCTGGCGGGAAGGCTCCTCTCAAGGAAAAAGCTTCTCTTTACAGGAAAGGGTTGTTATATGCAGAGAGTGGCATTCTGGTTCTCTGTACTGCACAGGCACCATAGGCCGTGGGGTTGGGTTCACTAGAAAAGCTCCCACAGGGGACATATGAGGCAGGGGATTGCTAGGAGGAACAAAGGGATCCTGGCTAATGGTCCAGGGTGGCAGAAAGCCAGCAGATTTGTAACTTTTTCAGATGACCCAAGCTCTCCACAAAACTTAGGCTCACATAACCTCTGCCCTGCCACCTACAAGACATTCTGGGACACAGAAACGATGGAAGAGGCCAGCCAATGGCGGGTCCAGCTTGAGACCCATGCCATGAGGGGGATCCCACCCCTGACACTGCCTGGAGGGTCAGGACGCAGGGACTGGACAGCCCAGAGAACTAGGATAGAGCCAAACATGACTGACAACAAATTTTAAGTCAATGAAATGATTCCTAATGATATTCTGCTACACTCATAGGTTGGTGCCTTGCCCTGCTGTCATCAGAGAGGCCTCGCCCAGCAACTGATGGAGACAGATGCAGACCCACAGCCAAACATCAGGCGGAGCTCAGTGAATTCTGCAGAAGAGGGGGATGAAGGATCGCAGGAGCCAGAGGGGTCAAGGACGTCACAAGAAAACCCGCAGAATCAATGACCCTGGACTCACAGGGGCTCACGGAGACTGAACTGACAGCCAAGGAGCCTGCCTGGGACTGACCTAGGCTTTCTGCATACGTGTGACAGTCGTGTAGCTTGGCCTCCTTGTGGGTCTCCTAACAGTGGCAGCAGGGGCTGTCTCTGACTGTGTTGCCTGCTTTGGGGACCCTTTCCTCCTCATGGGTTGCCTTGTCCAAGCTTAATAGGGGAGGAGGTGCCTAGGTTCACTGCAACTTGATATGACATGGCTGGCTGGTACTCACAGGAGGCTCTGCCCTTTCCTGAAGAGAAAGGAGGAGTGGATGGGATAGGACTGGGAGGAGAGAGAAGAGGGAGGGGAAACTGTGATCTGGCTGGAAAATTAATTAATTAGTGAGTTAATTAATAACAGGTGTACATCCTGACGACACCGTGTCGGAAGTCTTGGGATCCCTACGCCAAGATCCAGTCCCCCTGTGTTCTAACCGTGGGAACTGACTCAGTAATGTGGGTTGCTTTAAGATGCTCAGGGTACGGCGATTCCCTACGCAGAGATAGAAAATGGATACATATGCCCACGACACCGGGTCAGCTCTGTATGTGACTAACAGAAGGGGCAACACATGGCAGTTGTTAAATAAATAGGTGGCGTATGGGGTGGGGAGAGAACTTAGGCTCACGCAAACCTTGCTCATTCTTGATCTTCAGAAATGCCCCTTCTCTCTGAGACTGAATGAAATTTCTAGGGAACTGAAATGCCACTGCCCATCTAAGACGCCATCCCTGGCCTGGAAATGAGGTCCTCCCTCCCTCCTCTGAATGACACTGTACCATCTACATTGGAAGGCTGTCCCTGTTTAGAAAGATTCCACTGGGGGCTGGAGAGATGGCTCAGAGGTTAAGAGCACTGGCTGCTCTTCCAGGGGTCATGAGTTCAGTTCCCGGCAACTACAATGAGATCGGGTGCCCTCTTCTGCCTGCAGGCAAACATGCAGGTAGAACACTGTATACATAATAACATCTCTAAACGAAAAATAAAAAGAAAGATTCCACCAATGGGTGTGTCTATCTCTTGTCTCATCTGCTGCAGGAACCAGATTTTATAATACACAGACTGAAAACGGTGGATAAGCTTTGGGAGACACGCGAGGAACATGTATGAGCTCTTCGAGCCAGTCCATAACAGCCTTGGCACTGTATAATGAATGCACACGCTCACGCACGCACGCACACACGCGCGCACACGCACACACACACGTGTACACCGAGCACTGCTTCTCTTCCAAGATGCACTTTGTCCTGTAAGCTGAATCTTTCCAACTGCATTTCCTGGCAGTGCCTCCCTGGCCTTGGACCCTACGGGGAACTAAGACACTTTCTTGGAAAACGCTGTCACGGCTAACATTTACGAAGCCTTCAGAGGCTCTTGTCATTTCCCTTCTGACACCGAATTCAGCCAAGACGGCACAAAACAACCACTGTGGCCACTGATTCTCTTAAGATAAACCCAATGCTACTACAGTTTTCCCAGGCAAGCCAGGGGAGGCTTATGCCTTTCTCCCAACTCTGGGGCAGTGGGCTGGAAAGGGAAGGATTCTTGAGCCCAGGAGCTCAAGGCCAGTCTGGACAATAGAGCTAGATCCTGTGTCAATAAATAAATAAATAAATAAATAAATAAATAAATAAATAAATGGATCAAGTGTTGATACCAAAGGTGAGGATGTCTAATCCCAAGTTTAAAGTAATGCCAACACAATGGGATCAGGCAGCAGAACTAAAAAAAACTCAAAAATTGATCTATGTATCAAGCGGTGAGGTGTTTTGTTTACCCTTGTGATGTCACCGACACACTTAGGGTCACAGGCCAGTCTGCCTCAGCAGTATCATCCTCTGCAATATGTTTGTGGGTGTCTGCTTCCAGCTCAGATCCTGCCTTGTGACTAGCCAGAAACTTCTCTGCATATCATCCTTGTTGGATTCCTGCTGTTCAAGGAATGGCCCATGAGAGTCAACGATTTTTTACGTCTTGCTTCACAGAAAGCATCCAGGCATCTTGGGGTAAGGAGAGAAGCCCTTTACTGTGACATTAGTGCCTGGCAAGTGAGCTCCACACTAGCACTGGTGGCGGGCAGGCATGAACCGTACAGTGAGCTGGGATAGGAATTTTAAGGCCAGCCGTGGGCCTCATCCCCCATAGGAGGGATGGAGGAGGATCCAAGAAGGCTCCACCCAGAGCCATCTGCTCAAGATTCTTGTCCATCCACCAAAGGTGTGAGGGCCAGTTAGTGACTGAAGTGGGCTGTCCTCCCACCCCACCACCCACGCCGGGGGCCAGTGCGTGTGCTCTGGCTGGCTGGGGCCAAGAAGTGCTGGGTGGCAGGGATGCAGAGGGGTTAGCTCAGTCCTCTAGGAAAGCTGTCCTCCTTGCCCCGGCCCCCTGGGCTTGAGTCAGCCGGCAGGTCCCCTCCTCTGTCCCTCTGTCCCCATCACCCCACCCACAACCATACCACGGGGTTCCTGGCAGCCCCGGGCTCCCCTGCAGCTCCCGCTCGCTGCGGGCGGCCGGGCCTCGCGGGTGCGGGGCTCACTCACCCGCGTGCAGGCCTCCCGCCTCGGGGCCGCTGTCGGTGGCCGCAGCGCTGGGCAGCGCGTCCGAGTCGGTGTAGGTGAGCCAGGTGGACTCGGTCTCCCGGGTCCAGCTCTCGTAGTAGCGGGGCTCGATGGCATCGGCCCGGCTCCCGCCGCAGCCCATCCTCCCGGGTTGGGGCGAGCCCGGCGGCCGCTCGGCTTGCGGCTGCGGCTGCGGCTGCGGCTCAGCCTGGGCGACGCAGCTCCGGCCCTGGAGGAGGCGGCCGCAGCTGCAGCGACATCGGTCCCCTAACCGCGGGAGCCGCTGCCAACGCCAGGCTCCCTGGGCGCCCGCCGCCCCTCCTCTCCGCCTCCAAGGCCCTCCTCCTCTCTCTCCACTCTCTTTCCCCAGCTCCCCCAGCCTCTCCTCTCCCACCTCCCCGCTGCAAACCCCTCCTTCAGGGCTCTAGAAGAGGCCGTGCTAAGGAAGAGCAGACAAGTGGTGGGAAGAGAAAAAGGGATCCCTCTTCCATCTTCAGTGGACTTCCGAGGCACCCACCCACCCATCCATCCATCCATCCACCCACCCACCCATCCATCCATCCATCATCAGTCCACCGGCTGATCCATCTAGCTATCCATTGTTCTACCAAACTATCTCATTCCAGATAGTTCTGAAGCTCCCAGAAAACCACCCAAGTTTTACGGCCACTTGTTCTAAAAAAAAGCAATGAATGAAAATTGGGGAGACAGTGTTGTCACTGGAAGTTACGTTAGAGTCGGTGCTTGTTAACAGGGTAGGAAGATTTCAGACAGTGCAGTTAGACACTTGTGGCTAACACCCTACCAAGCCTGCAGCTTCGTGACCTTCTGAATTTGATTCCCAAGAAAGCAAAAGATCACCGGGACCGTGCACCAGCGGGAACTCCGAGGAATGCTCGCTGAACAGAAATAACGCAGCCTCTTGTAGTGACTAGGTTCTAGCTGAACAAGAGTCCAGTCTCCGGTGGAGGTCCCTGGGGCGGGCACTTACCGGAGTCTACGGGGTGGAAAGGAACACAGACTTGGAGCCTCCAGACCAGAGGCTGCCCCAGCTGGCCTCTGCAATCTCGGAGGTAGAGGGTAAGCAGTTACCCGGGATGGCTGACTCCACCCACCTATGGGATGTCGCCCCCTTTGGCCTGTTTCCTCCCCTAAATATCTTGGTATAAAAATGATTGGGTCTTTGTGAGGTCCTGTGATCAATCTTCAATATCAAACTGATGACGACAATGATGACGATGATGATGATGAAGTAAAAACAAAACCAGCTCCTGAAGAGAAATCTCAACGTCACTGACAGTGACGGTGCTTCCTTCACTCCAGTAGCAGGGAACTTTTTTCATAACGAGCTATTTGGCGATGTCCACACCTGAAGAGTGGCCGAAACAGAGGCCCTTGGGTTGGGGGATGTGTGGGCTTTGTTGTGAGAAGGGACGGGTGGTGAAAGCTACATCTCACCAGCATCCTAGATCTGCTCCAGGAAGCTGTCACTCAAAAAGCAGATGGAAAATGAATGGGTAGACAGAGGGGCCAGCGTCGATCCCGGCGAGCATTTGGAATTGAAAGGACGCCAGTTACTGAGGAGGAAGACAGTAGAGGTACCTGCTAGGTGCTGGGGTCTAGAAAAGACGGACGGGCAGAGACTTAGCTGTCCTCCTTTCAGTTTTACTTTTTTTCCTGTTTAGCGAGCCGTGGTCAACCAAAGTCCAATACTACCACATGCGATAAACGATTCATGTTTTAATCACAGACCATTCTAAGAGCACAATGCAATCTTACACCATCACAATCTATTCTGCCTGAATATAAATCATCATTCCTTTATCCGGTGTGCCCACGCTCTGTGTACACCTGCCCAGCCAGAATGGGGACCTGGGAGGCCCCGAAGGCCCACGTGTTAAGGCTTCGTCCTCGGGTTGGTTCTGTTGAAGCCGGAAACAGTTTAAATTGTAGGGACCACTGGGGGCCTTCCAGTCACGGAGGTGAAGCAAACAACTGTACAGGTATATGTAGAGGGTGACTGTCCATCCCGTGGAAACCGCCTCGAGTTGTTCTCACTGCTCTTGTGAGACAAGGCGCACAGCATCAGTATCTCCTTGAAGGACAAAGCCCCAGGGATTGTTCTCGCGAGGCATCGCTTGTGAGTTTGCCTAGCGTAGAGCTTGAGTCTGGTAAAGGCAGCCATCTTCATTCCTTCAATCTCCTTTCTCTTTCCCTTCTGATGTTACCACCAACGAGCTTGCCGCAAATAAAACTCCCCCCTGTCATCCCTACATCGTCATCTGCTGGGCAAAGTTCTGTTTTTCCAAGGACTCTCTTCTTGTTGGTGTTTAACACCAAAGAGTCCGAGAGCGTTGGTCCCATGGAACCTAGACAGCAGCTAATCCGGGCCCTTGCGTTCACCAGCCCGCTGAGAAACGATTGTAGACTCAGGCATGGTACTGCCTACCTGTAAGTCTTGCTTGTGGGGGACTAAAGCAGGAGGATGGGGGTGGGGGTTCCAGGCTAGCAAGGACTATATGGTGTGGTCAAGGCTCCGGATCAACCCAAACAGACACTAGAGGTTACCGAAAGGCAAGATTTAATGCCGGGCAGCTCGATCGGAGCGGGGAAGGGGATGGGCCTGCAGAACGGACTTGGGAGCTGAACTATGACAAAAATCACAAACATTTGTTGCCAAGTTACAGTTACGGCCTTCACCAATCAGGATTTAGAGATGAGGGACTCCCTGGAGTGTTCACCATTGCCAATCGACCTACAATGCAAGCTTTCAGTCCAACCAATCAGATCCATGTGTTCCTCCTGTGTTAGGTATAGCCATAATGTTTCCAGAGAACTAAAGATGTGCAACGACTGTTCTTTCTTTTTCCTGTTTGTTTTCAAGACAGGGTTTCCCTGTGTAGTTTTGTAAACAGAGATCTGCCTGCCTCTGACTCCCGAGTGCTGGGACTAAAGGTGTGTGCCACTGCCCAGCTGTATAACGACTGTTTCTACGGCTGAATCAGCTACTGCAAGGTTCCCAGAAATTCCAGGGCTGGGAATCTGAACTTTGTTTCACCCTATAGGCGAAATGGGATCTGAAGTCAAAAATAGCAGCACTTAGGACTAGGTGCTTTTGGCCTGTTCCCAACATATACTGTGAAAACTCGTCCTGAGACAGATAAGGAAGCCTGGGGTTGTAGCTCAGCTGCGCAAAGTCCTTGCCTATCACTCCTGAAGTGCCATGTTCTGCCCTTATCACCACACACAATCAATTGCCCTGGTGTATACCTGCCATCCCAGGACCTAGGAGGAGGAGGCAGGAGATCAGTTCAAGCTAATCCGACAGTATGCGAGAGGGGTTCAAGGTCAGCCTGGGGCAGGTGAGACCCCGTCATGAAGTAAGAAGAAAAGGAGAGGGGACAGCTAGGAGCTCTGTGGACTGTCTGAAGGCAGAACACAAGCTATCTCTGCAGAGCTGAGGCCTCCATCAGACCTCTGAGCCTGGCCTTACCGAATGGCTCGCTGCTCTTTTTTTTTTTTTTTAATGGTTTTTCTCAAGATAGGGTTTTTCTGTGTAGCCCTAGTACTCACTCTGAAGACCAGTACTGGCCTCGAACTCACAGAGATCCGCCTGCCTCTGTCTCCAGAGTTCTGGAATTAAAGGCGTGCGCCACCAATGCCTGGCTTGAAATGGTATCTTAGTGGACACTGGGCTGGCCTCCACTTTATCTCGTATCTGAGAGTGTAGAGAATGACTCTGAACACTGTGCCTCCTGCCCCATATCCTGAGTGCTGGGATTACACTCAGCCACCAGGCCCCGTGCTGGGGGATGGAACCCAGGGGTTCATTCACCAGTCTGGGTTAATCACAGGGTTCCTCTTCCTCCATCCCTCCCCTCTGACTCCCCGTCCTCGGTTCTTTTCAAGATTTGTGGGAAACGATAGTTAATTCATGGCAGCCAGGTTCACACAGCAGCTCACACCCTTCTGTAACTCCAGTCCCAGGAATCTACCCTCTTCTGGGCTCCTCAGGCACCAGGCACACAGGCAGTACACAGACATACGTGCAGGCATTGAAAACAAAATCATTTATCTATTCATTTGTGCATTTATTGGCTGAAGGGTATTTGTTATGTGATGGGATTCTCTAGATAAGACATCTGTGGCCTTAAGACCCCAACTGGTGAGGACCACCTCTGGCTTGTTTCCATGGAAACCCAAATGAGGCTGTAGGGCACAAAGCGTTCCTTCCACCAAGGTCGCCTTTCTCTGGCCCAGCACAGCTGGGCACTGTCCAACTGTCCTGAATAGAATGGAGGTCGTCGGAGTGGCAGACAATCACAGAAGAGGGGGTTCAGCGGGAACTTAACCCCCTTTCAGGATCTGCCCTCAAAACGGGTAAAGATAGAAGAAACGACGCCACCTCAGTGACAAGCTACCCGAGTGAGGACGCTATAGCAGCAGGGACTCTGGGCGGGTGAGCATACACAGTCTCTCTGTACATTCCCAGTCTTTGCCTTTAGTCCTGAATTCCCAGCCTCTGAGAGTCTTGCCCTCCCCTGCTCCCCATTCAAGGAGCTCCTGGACCTGCAGCCCTGACTCCACCTCCACCGGCTAAAAGCCCTTTCCACTGAGCACCCTTCCGGGGCCTCAGTCTCGGATAGCAGACGGCTTCGCGTTGATCTACAAGTTATAATTTAGTTACGAAGAAAGGGAAGCCAAAATTATCATCCCAGAATTCACTTCAGAACAACCGGGGATATGTCTCTCTGGATCTATTTTCAATTTAGCAACCTTTCCCTCTAACCATCCAACCTACAAATCGAAGTTTTTCCGTGACGTTTTTTTAAAAAAATTACCATTGCAGCTGGACTGCAGTGGCACACGCCTTTAATCCCAGCACTCGGGAGAGGCAGAGGCGGGTGGATCTCTGTGAGTTTCGAGGCCAGCCTGGTCTACAGAGCGAGCACCAGAAGAGCCTCCAAAGCCACAGAGAAACCCTGTCTCGAAAAACAAATAACCAATTACCATTGCTCCATCTTTCTTCCCAATTCCTTCCCAATGTGAGGCCCACATTTTCTTTTAGGAGAACAAACTGGTTTTTCTTGCACCTCTCCCACGTGCTAGCAATAGAGGAGAAGTGAAGAGAGCAGACACTAGGGACCATGGGGTGGCTTCCCGTGTTCTCATTTTGGGTGCGCGATAAAGTGCCACCAGACATTACTCTAGGCCCTGACTTTGAAGACCTTTGCCGCCATTGAAAGAGCACGCTGGATCCCGACAGGCTAGCCAGTCTTCTCACGAGAACTGCTCAGTTTAGGGCTTGCCAGGTGGAGGAAA